GTTTGCACCCAGTGTTAGGGTTCATTTAGGGGCGACGATATCATATAGGGGCTCTGGGTTTAGGGTACAGTTTGAGGCGAACATATCATTTAGGGTGTCCCATCATCAGCTAAAAGACATTTTACTTCTGTGAAAAGAGAAGCAAAACTATTCTTAGATTCTCTAAACCACTTTCGACCTGGTATTGGGTAACCCATGTTTGACATCAGAAAAGGTGGTCTTAGATTCTCTAAACCACCTTCGACCTGGTATTGGGTAACCCATGTTTGACATCAGAAGAGGTGGTCGTAGATTCTCTAAACCACCTTCGACCTGGTATTGGGTAACCCATGTTTGACATCAGAAAAGGTGGTCTTAGATTCTCTAAACCACTTTCGACCTGGTATTGGGTAACCCATGTTGGACATCAGAAAAGGTGGTCTTAGATTCTCTAAACCACCTTCGACCTGGTATTGGGTAACCCATGTTGGACATCAGAAGAGGTGGTCTTAGATTCTCTAAACCACCTTCGACCTGGTATTGGGTAACCCATGTTTGATATCAGAAGAGGTGGTCTTAAATTCTCTAAACCACCTTCAACCTGGGTAACCCATGTTTGACATCAGAAGAGGTGGTGGTAGATTCTCTAAACCACTTTCGACCTGGTATTGGGTAACCCATGTTTGACATCAGAAAAGGTGGTCTTAGATTCTCTAAACCACTTTCGACCTGGTATTGGGTAACCCATGTTGGACATCAGAAAAGGTGGTCTTAGATTCTCTAAACCACCTTCGACCTGGTATTGGGTAACCCATGTTGGACATCAGAAGAGGTGGTCTTAGATTCTCTAAACCACTTTCGACCTGGTATTGGGTAACCCATGTTTGATATCAGAAGAGGTGGTCTTAAATTCTCTAAACCACCTTCAACCTGGGTAACCCATGTTTGACATCAGAAGAGGTGGTGGTAGATTCTCTAAACCACTTTCGACCTGGTATTGGGTAACCCATGTTTGACATCAGAAAAGGTGGTCTTAGATTCTCTAAACCACTTTCAACCTGGTATTGGGTAACCCATGTTTGACATCAGAAGAGGTGGTCTTAGATTCACTAAACCACCTTCGACCTGGGTAACCCATGTTTGACATCAGAAGAGGTGGTCGTAAATTCTCTAAACCACTTTCGACCTGGTATTGGGTAACCCATGTTTGACATCAGAAGAGGTGGTCTTAGATTCTCTAAACCACCTTCGACCTGGTATTGGGTAACCTATGTTTGACATCAGAAGAGGTGGTCTTGCACCACGTCATTCGCCCAGATCCATGTTCATCACCCCAATCACTGGACTGTCTGGTCCAGATCTAATTACTCATTGACAACTGTCATATAGAAGGATAATGTAAAGGATGGTGTTAAACCAAAATATGATAAAAATCTAATGGAAATGGCAAACACTATGAAGTCAAACACAGAAAACAAAATCCATTATGATATGTGAAGAACGTTTTATATTCTGACATAGTATGTACACATATGTAAAAATAACTTCCTATGTTTGATAAACATGTTTCATGATCAACAATATAGTATACATTAGGAATCACAAGGTTTATTTTGCTAACTTAATATACTCCTCAAAACAGTTAAAGAACACCACAATTGGAAGGCTGTCTGTTATAATGCCCACACAGCATGACAGTTTCACTGTATCATGCCCACACATCATGACAGTTTCACTGTATCATGCCCACACAGCATGACAGTTTCACTGTATCATGCCCACACATCATGACAGTTTCACTGTATCACATAAAAACATCTGGTCTTTAACTTCTTTTGAACAGTATATATTGGATTGAGATGAGTCAGCATATCAAACACATTTTACATTTCATGAATGTTTCAGTACATCAGTTCAAGGAGATGATGCCCTGGAGTAGGAACACTGCTTCTATTCATCATCTTCATTATTCCCTTAACACCTCTACTATACCATAGTCTTGGTGTCAGCTCATTCCATACTTCCTTGAAATTTTACAGTAATATCAAGCTGGTTAAAATTGAAAACCCCCAACAGAGAATGGATTTTTTCACATGTTCAAATTATCTACAAGTTGCTGGGTGTGTTGTCTGGGAGTAGACCAATAACATGTAGATGTTGTTATTGTTATTAACAAGTATAAAGTTTCCTTTCTGTGGCCTGGTAAAGTAAAGGAGAATGCTAAAATCAACCCAATCAAGTAAGAGTAACCACGGAAACAGAATCAAGCAAAACACTATTTCCTGGTAAAATTGGACAATTCCGAGAACATCCTCACTAAGTAAGAGTAACCATGGTAACAGAATGAAGCAAAACACTATTTCGTGGTAAAATAATAGAAAATTCTGAGAGCAGCCTAATCATGTAACATAACCATGGTAACCAAATCTAGTAAACCACACTGACTTGGCAGTGACTGAGTAAGTGAGTTTAATGCTGCTTTGAGTATGGTATGGTATTCAAGTTATATCACAGACATGCCTGGAGTGATACAGGTCTCACGAATCTTCCACTTTCCTGAAACCCAGGACCAACTTGTCATGCTGACATACCCAGAAACATCACCAGGGATGCTGCACGAAAAGGGATGTAACTCTGCACAGCAAATTATAATGCCCAAGACGGCTGTGCTAGGAATTCAGCAAATCCAGACATCAGTAAACTTTGAAGTGGTAAACATTACATAATCCTCAAAAACTGACTTCAATATTTTTGCATGTATAGAGTCATCAACATAAAAACATGTGTGCACAGTTTAAATATAGACTGATTATTTGATATTACATAAAAATATTAAACACAATACATAATCAGGGATATGGAATAGCTCTCTAATACAATTTATGCCCCACCTACTCAAATATCAGTAATCCTTAAGATCATGACTTGAAAGCCAATCAAAAGTCACAGAATCACTAGTAATATATCTATTTATGTAAAATTCCCAAAGTCCATGCTATATATCACTTCAGAATGTATATGATTATTATTAACATGTATTGAATATCGAAAAACACATTTAGTCCTGCTAGTTAGGATCAAGCAAATACTGGACCCTGCTTTCATTACTTTCAAATTTCAGTTCCATAAAAATACAATTGAAATTCTTTTAAATGAAATGAATATCAACCACTTGGACACTGCAGACATTTTCGTGATGATTTCTGCACACGTTCCAAGTTGTGTTATCAGAAGTCAAGAATAGGCAGTTTTATTTACCCTAAAATCTTTGTTGGGAGTGTCCGAGTGAGTTGGTGTTTTGAACAGTATTTCAATTATATTACAGTGGGCCTGCTTGATGTGGGAGGAAACTCCAGAGTAATAAAGACCTTAGACATCTACCACAAGCACTGTTATGGAGATCTGAAACCTAGTAACATAATCAGGGTGAATCAGGAATGAACCCTGTCTTTGTTGTTTCAGAGGACCGCAATATCATCCACAGACATTCCATAAAATCATATTTGAAAAACTGTTTATGCCCAAACAAGACATCACAAATTAATTCAGCTAGTTAAAATCAGATATCCAAAGTAAAGGTACCTATTTCAAATTCAACTGCCCTATCAAAGAATGAGTCAGGATAAAGGTTCTCCAACCCCTTCCAAAATATCAAATGGTTGGTCCCTGTATACTAATGTATGGGCGTTGCCGAGATTGAGTAAAAGTCAAATTATCAAATATATGTAAGTATTTTATTAAATATATAAATATCCTTTAAATCAATTTTCAGTGAAATGAGATGCTAACAGGTTACAAGGAACAATGTATGTTAAATTTGAGCAAAGGGACATGATGTGTGAGGTATGTAAATAATCAAGTTACGATGGGCTTCACACATTGTACCCATGTGTGAGAATCAAACCCTTGACTTCAGTGCGACAAGTGAACACTTTAACCATTAGGCTACCCACAGTGATTGGCAAAAGAAATAGTACACTCAGACATTGATATCATGGTGTTTTCTTGTAGATAAACATCATATCCCTATGTTGTTGCAATATTAATAAAATTGGACACAAATAATTATACTTGTCGTGAAACAGATAACAGTGAATGTTTCTACAGAAAAGTGAGGATTTAGCAGCGGTTAGTAAGTGAGTGCACCTCATACAATAAAACAAACACATTTATTGTTCCAGTGAGATTATATCACTTACATTTTAGAAATATTCATTTGAGGAAAAACATGTCAACTATATCAGTGGACACCCTACAGGATAAGTACATCATCCTTAAACATTTCTACTGATACTCATTGTGACAAGATATGTGTTGCACGTTGTGTATTGGTTTGTGATTGTGTAAATATTACTGCAATGTGTAAATAAGGAAATATTTCCCAAACTGAGGCTTGAGTTCTGGGCTAGGAATTATCGTAAGTTTGCTAGTCCAGGGGCCCGTTTCACAAAGTGATCATAGCCCCGACTCTCGTAAGTCTATGTTAAAATATGGGAGTTATGATCATCTTAGCACTACGATCATCTTAGCCTTAGCGCTATGATCAACTTAGCGCTACAATCATCTTTGCGCTACGATCATCTAAGCGCTACGATCATCTTAGCGCTACGATCATCTTAGCCTTAGCGCTATGATCAACTTAGCGCTACGATCATCTTTGCGCTACGATCATCTTAGCACTACGATCGCTTTGTGAAATGGGGCCCAGGTCAGTTTCACTGGTGTGAAAGGCATCTTTAAGGCTGGAAGGTGTGTGGCCATTTATAGGATAATTCTACCATTTCAACATCAGTATTCAGGTTAGTAAATGTGTGATGTTAATTTCTGTCTGATCTAGTTGTGCTGTGTCTTGGGTGTTGCAGCGATGTGAACACAAATCGGTCTTACGTAGCACACAAATACATAGAGTACCCAAGTCTAGATCGAAAATATCACCTGCGTACTCAGTACAGTACACTACTCTTTAAAACAATTATCTACTCTGTTGTGTTTTCAAATACATTCTGTAGATTGATATCTTTGGGTAGTTTTGATTTTCCTGCACTGTTTATGCAAACTAAATCTAACATTCTGAAATGTTATAGAATTTTGTTTCTACAATTTCTCCACTCTGCTGTATTTGTACCTAAATGAACAGAATCAAGGCTGATGTATAATGTCCTGTCCAATTTACTGTTCATAAAACTCATTGTGAGATGCAGGAAGCCTGAAGTACTTTCATGAAGGGACGGTGGGGTATGGTTAAAGCTTTCGATCGTCACTCAGAAGATCTGGGTTCAGTTCCTCATGTGGGTACTATGTGTGAAGCTCTTTCTGGTGTCTCCTGCCGAAATATTGCTGGAATATTGGTAAAAGCGAAGTAAAACTAACCTCACTCAGTCACTCACTACTTTCACTAAGAATCTATGTGGTGGTCTAGACAGTCTGGTGTACAAGCTTGTAGCATATAAACTGTCTTGAATGATTGAAGACGTTAATCTTAGTACCTGATGCTGTCGTGTTTTCTAGATGAGTAAATTATCAACACATGATCAGTAAATAGAGATAATTAATAAGTCAATATTTTATCTATATAACTGTTGTATTCAACGGAACAGGTGCAATGGTGCTGACAACCCAACAGTGAAGCTGCTTTCTAATTCGAATTGTTACTGTTCCTTTAGACTGAGTAGTGAAGCAAATTTGTTGGCTAATGAGAACCAAGGGCAGATAATTTGAGATCATGAGAACCATGTAATTGATAGATGGGATTTATGGCAGTTCACCAAAATGTGAGCCATAAAGGAGGCTGGAATTCACAAAAAGTGTTGCATATCTTATGTTTTTATGTAATTAGCGGCTTAAATCAATGCGGTTTTTCATATCATTCACTCAATCAAGTTGCATGTGTGGTGCCAGCTGGTGTGACAGGACTATCATCCTGACATGAGCAATGAAGGCAGCACAAATCAACCCTTACTTACAAAATAAATTTACAAAACTTCATTATATAGAAATATAGTTTAGTATCTCATCTGCAAACAAAAATGTCTGAACAGATAGTCATAATCTGAGGTGTAATGGTCCTACAGGACATCCCTTACTTCAGTTCTGGAAGCCCTTAATAACACTTGATGATTACCTCTATTTTTGACCATAATTAATTTACAGAATGAAAATAAGCTTACAGTCATACTGAGCGTTAATTTCAAGAGTCAAATATTATAAAGAAATACCAAGTGATATTGTGTTGTGTGAAGATGATAAACACCAAAACCAAATCACATACAAAAATATTTCACATTTTATATTAAAAGTGTATTTACAGCCATGGTCCCTATCAAACATGATGTACCACTCGAGCGTGAGCTTGTGTTGTTGCTGACTTTGTCGGTCGCAGGGAATAGTTCTCTTTTTCTGGCGTCTTTTCAGCTATAGGTATGATAGTCACGTGATCATTGTTGTGCCATTCTCGTAACAAGATGTGGCCATTTTGTTGTGTTTGACTGTTATAAAGGTTGACGTCACTCTTGGAGTGTGGAAGTCCGGTGTTGTGCTTGAGGAAATCTGGTTCACTGCGGACATAGGGCAAGGTTTGTGCTCTCTTGATGGCCTGGTTCTGGTCGTACTTCGCCTGAAAGACAACAAGAAAACTGAGACACTGGAATGGGTTCCAAGCTGTTCGGGTGAGTGAGTGAGTATATTTTTATGCTGCTTTTAGCAATATTCCAGCAATATCACGGCGGGGGGACACCAGAAATGGGATTCACATATTGTACCCATGTGGGGATTCGAACCCGGGTCTAAGGCATGAGAAGCGAATGCTTTAACCACTACGCTGCCCCACCACCCCCAACGCTGTCAGATCAGACTTTAGTTATTGCATGTCATCTCAGACCAGTGTGGGAGGAAAACCAGAAACTGGGAGAAGACTGAAAACAAAGGGCAGATAATTTGAGATCATGATAAACCATGTAATTGATAGATGGGATTTATGGCAGTTCACCAAAATGTGAGCCATAAAGGAGGCTGGAATTCACAAAATGTTGCATTTCTTATGGTTTTATGTAATTAGCTGCTTAATTCAATGCGGTTTTTCATATCATTCACTCAATCAAGTTGCATGTGTGGCGTCAGCTGGTTTGAAAGGACTATCATCCTGACATGAGCAATGAAGGCAGCACAAATCAAATAGCATGTCAACCTTTACTTACAAAATAAATTTACAAAACTTCATTATATAGAAATATAGTTTAGTATCTAATATATGCAAACAAAAATGTCTTAACAGATAGTCATAATCTGAGGTGTAATGGTCCTACAGGACATTCCTTACTTCAGTTCTGGAAGCCCTTAATAACACTTGATGATTACCTCTATTTTTGACCATAATTAATTTACAGAATGAAAATAAGCTTACAGTCATACTGAGCGTTAATTTCAAGAGTCAAATATTATAAAGAAATACCAAGTGATATTGTGTTGTGTGAAGATGATAAACACCAAAACCAAATCACATACAAAAATATTTCACATTTTATATTAAAAGTGTATTTACAGCCATGGTCCCTATCAAACATTAGTGAAACACGAAGACACTATTATCACACTGTCGAGTGGGATCAGTTTCGGGACACTTGGAATCTGACCTTCATAAGCTGATCCTGTCATTACAAGGGATCTAACTCTGCATCTGAACATAGTATGTGATTTCTTGTGAGCACCAAACCCAGTTTGTGAAGAGAAATGGACCCATAATTGACAAGAGTTAAAATAACAACAACAAAAATAATTTTGAAAACGTAACCATTGATGAAATTGGTTTTTATCACATGATGATACGTCATCTCCCCTGACAAGATACAATTTACAAATGGGGATTGGATACCTCAGTGCAGTGAAAAAACATACAATGTATTGCTGTTCAGTTTATTTCAATAACCTAAGTCATCAAAAGGCACCGGTTTACCATAAGGTTAATCTTTCTAGCTAGTTATATAAAGAAAAAGCCAATGGTTTTGGAGTTATGCTCCTCATTTTAAGCCCAACTTGTCTTCAAGGGAAAAAATATAATTAAACTAGCAAAAATACCAAAGCATCAAAAGGCACCAATTCACCACAAGGCATCTTTACAGCAAATTTCCATAAGAAATATTCAGTGCTTTAGGAAATATACCCTGAGACAGACAAGACTATCGCTATATCCCCCTGTTTTCAAAAGGAGAAGTGTATCTTCAAAAACAAAATAATTTATTCACATTTACTTGGAAAACATTGAAGACTAAGAATTTTCCATGTTATAAACAAGTCCTAGTTAACATGCATACCCACCTTATTATAAGACAACACCCCGAATATTGCCACAAGCATTCCTAATATATTTGTTGGGGTGACTGGATTTTTCAACACCATTAATGATCCACTTATGATAAATATTCTTTTGGTGGCATTGGCGACAGCATAGCTGAGTGACGTCACCATGGAGAGGAGGGTGAAGGCGAAGATGTTGTGGCCCATGTTGCAGAGTCCGTCGAACATCAACATCGTTATCAGGTACAACTTGTTGTTGCTGTTTAACTGGAATAGACAACATCAACATCGTTATCATGTACAACTTGTTGTTGCTGTTTAACTGGAATAGACAACATCAACATCGTTATCATGTACAACTTGTTGTTGCTGTTTAACTGGAATAGACAACATCAACATCGTTATCATGTACAACTTGTTGTTGCTGTTTAACTGGAATAGACAACATCAACATCGTTATCATGTACAACTTGTTGTTGCTGTTTAACTGGAATAGACAACATCAACATCGTTATCATGTACAACTTGCTGTTGCTATTGAACTGGAATAGACAAAAAGCACACTTAAATCTCAAACTTCGGATCTCCAAGCCAGTTAACCAAAGACTGCTAGACATCACTAGACATTAGAACTAAGGCAGAGATATATGATCATACTCAATGTGCATCATGCATGTTCTCCTGAATGGAAAGTTAAGAGTACCATTTGTGTGGGCTATTTCCAACATATGATGTGATATTTGTGGCACTTGAATATTTGACTGTACTGTTCACTGGAAATGTTACCTTATCGGCCACAAGAAAAAAGAAGGGCCTTAAATACTTACAAATTGTTCATCATGTAAGATCCTGCGCAGGTCAAAGAGCACCCAGAGAGGGAGGAAGCAGACGGTTGAGATGCGGGTGATGACAACGAGAAGACGCATGTGATGAAGACCGGTATCCTTCAAACACTACACACAGAGACACACAAGCACTCAATATGCTCAACCGGGCAACGGTTCATAACATTTAGGCTTGAGCCGTTAGCACCAAATCAAAATCAGTAATGATTTATCTTGTTTAAAGTTGTTCATGTTTGCCAACTCCAATATCTTATTGGATAGAAAAATGAAGCGTAAACTACTACAGTATTTAAACCAAATTCTTGTTGTTTAATGCCGTACTCTGCAATATTCCAGTTAAATACATATGTAACTATATTCGGTTAATAATCAAGTCTGGACCAGACAATCCTTTGATTGACATCCTGAAATGAATGAAATTGGGATACGATGACCTATGTCAACAAGTCTGACCTCTGAAGTCCATTAGTCGCCTCTAGCAAGTATGGGTTCCTATTAACCCAGGTTCTTATCAACCAATCATAAAACAGTTGTCTGTTGGGGGGACATGGCCTATTGTTTTTTGGGTTTACGGAAACATAAATAGATTGGTTAGCCAATCAAATGACATAGAATCACAGTTTACATTTTTGAGTGAGTGAGTATGGTTTTATGCCGCTTTTAGCAATATTCCAGCAATATCATGGCGGGGGACACCAGAAATGGGCTTCACACATTGTACCCATGTTTGGAATCGAACCCAGGTCTTTGCCATGACGAGCAAACGTACATTTTTTTTATGAGGTCATGGTACATCTGAATGATATTTCCGTGACATCATGCTATGCAGCATTTCCACCTCCCACTGACACATTAAATGTTCATATAAATATCAAGCATAACAAGCTATCCATTTATTATAAATGGGAGGATTTTGGTAATTGTCTAGGGTCTGTATGTTATGTAAAATGTATTCATGAACTAGCCCCAACAACAAAAACCTGGTCTCTAAATACTGTTCAAATTAACATTCTATTGTATTTGAAAAAAACAGTTTCATGACTTCCTGATAGAGCTGAGATACATTTGGGTGACATACCCCTCCCTGCACCCCTATCTCCCCTCATTTACACTAAATTACAGTGACTTTTTTGCATGACACACCCTAATTCAGGATCCAAATCTGGACTCCTTGACAATGACATATAAGAAAGCACAACTAATGGCTATCACAGGAAGTCTTTTTTCAGTAATCATTTTTCTGTAATTGTTAACATAGACCATTCTGTACTTACCATTTTGGAAAAAATTGTTTGCAATGAGAAGCAGAGTGTTGCAAATAAGGCGCTTCCGAGCCCAATATAATCAAAAGCCAGCTCTGTGACTGTTGCTATGACAACGCCGCCCATGATTGGAAGCAGGGATAAATATACCTGCAATAAAGATGACAGAAATTTTAGTCTCTCATTGGATGGTTGTGATGGGTAGTGTTGGACGATGTGAGGCAGTGTGGGATCTGTGGAGTTGTGAGTGAGTTAAGTTTTATGCCGTTTTAGCTGACTGGAAGGTGTGGGAATGGTTGTGGTTGTGGGTGCAGTGAGGGAGTGGGAGTGGGAGGGGTGAGGGAACGGGTGAGGGAACGGGTGCGGTGTGGTTGAGAGTGTGGGTGTGGGTGAGGGAACGGGTGCGGTGTGGTTGAGGGTGTGGAAGCGGGTGCAGTGTGGGTGTGGGTGAGGGTGTGTATGTGTGTGTGTGTGGGTTTGAGTGTGGGTGAGGGTGTGGGTGTGGGTGTGTGGGTTTGAGTGTGGGTGAGGGTGTGAGTGTGGGTGTGGGTGTGGGTGAAGGTGAGGGTGAAGGAGCGGGTGCATTGTGGTTGGGGGAATGGGTATGACTGAGGGAGCGGGAGTGGGTGTGGGTGCGGGTGTGGGTGAAGGAGCACGGTGTGGGTACGGGTGTGAGAGCGGGTGAGTGTGTTTGTGGTGTGATGTGTGATTGTGGTGTGGTGTGTGAGTGTGGTGTGGTGTGGTGTGTGTGTGGTGTGTGGTGGGGTGTGATGTGAGTGCAGTGTGAGTGTGGTGTGGTGTGAGTGTGGTGTGTGTGTGTGGTTGTGTGAGTGTGGGGTGGTATGTGAGTGTGGTGTGTGTGTGGTGTGGTGTGCGAGTGTGGTGTGGTTGTGTGAGTGTGGTGTGTGAGTGTGGTGTGGTTGTGTGAGTGTGGTGTGGTTGTGTTGGTGTGGTGTGTGTGTGGTTGGGTGTGATGTGAGTGTGGTGTGATGTGGTGTGTGAGTGGGGTGGTTGTGTGAGGGTGGTGTGTGAGTGTGGTGTGTGAGTTTGTTGTGTGAGTGCTGTGTGTGAGTGTGGTGTGATGTGGTGTTGTTGTGTGTGAGTGTGACGTGGCAGGGAACGATTTAAGAGATGTTAACCTACTCGCACCAGGTGCAACCTGAGATAAAAACCCAGGTGCCCCAGCCAAATTGTGCGCATTTTTGCAATATGTAAAGAAAGAAATATGCTATTGACTTATTCAAAGTTTAGAAGAAAAATGAGCTGACAGATGTACACTGCTCATGTAATGTTAGACTTATTGCTGATTTATTTCTCAACAATTAACTTGCACCTGGTGCTAGTAAGACTAATAACTAGGTTGCACTTTGTAATATTGTGTTGCACCAGTGCAAGTAACAAAGCACTAAATCGAGCCCTGTGTGGTGTGAGTGGTGTGGGTTTGTTGTGGTATGAGTGGTGTGGTGTGGTGTGGTGGGGTGTGGTGGGGTGCAGTGTGGAGTGTGTGTGGTGTGTGTTGTGTTGTGTGGTGTTGTGGGTTTGAGTGCGGTGTGATGTGGTGTGTGGTGTGGGTGTGGAGTGTGGAGTGTGGAGTGGCTGGGCGTGGCTGGGTGGGGTAGGGTGGTGAAACGGTAAACACAGATATGGAACTGATAAAACAAAGTCCAGAAACAAAATCTTGGCAAAGCAGGGCATGGACCGACATTCATAGCTTTCTGCCATGCCTAAGGGAAGCACCTCTGAATACTGAATTGAACAGTAGTCAAGGCCTCCTACAAACATGCAGTTTCAATTGCTACTACAAACCACAGTCTTTTCACATAAAGGACAAAGTCACTGAAGCATTCTTAAAATGACTTTGAATCTTCATTGATTACCAGCTTTTATTGCTGTCTGTGAGGAGACACATTGATCTGGGCTGTGTGTTTAGCGACTGAGAACCAGCACCTAGTTACAAGCTGTGTGTACTTAAATCAGTGTGTTGTAAACTTGATATGCTGTCTGTGAGGCGGCACATTGATCTGGGCTGTGTGTTTAGCGACTGAGAACCAATACCTAGCTACGAGCTGTGTGTACTTAAATCAGTGTGTTGTAAACTTGATATGCTGTCTGTGAGGCGGCACACTGATCTGGGCTGTGTGTTTAGCGACTGAGAACCAATACCTAGCTACGAGCTGTGTGTACTTAAATCAGTGTGTTGTAAACTTGATATGCTGTCTGTGAGGCGGCACACTGATCTGGGCTGTGTGTTTAGCGACTAAGAACCAACACCTAGCTACAAGCTGTGTGTACTTAAATCAGTGTGTTGTAAACTTGATATGCTGTCTGTGAGGCGGCACACTGATCTGGGCTGTGTGTTTAGCGACTGAGAACCAATACCTAGCTACGAGCTGTGTGTACTTAAATCAGTGTGTTGTAAACTTGATATGCTGTCTGTGAGGCGGCACACTGATCTGGGCTGTGTGTTTAGCGACTAAGAACCAACACCTAGCTACAAGCTGTGTGTACTTAAATCAGTGTGTTGTAAACTTGATATGCTGCCGCTGTGTTCGGTATAAGTGTTAGTTTCAAAATTATTACATTACTTCTTAATTAGCATAACTTCACTGTTTAATGGTTATTTCAACAGTAGTCACATCTTTTGTCTAAGCATTTCTTACATATACAAACAGTTTCAGTAAACAAGAAGATTAGCTCAACCATCACATTGATTATATATTTCAAGAAGCTAGTAATAATATAATTCTGAAGAAATCCATATCTCTGTTATCATGTTTCTTTGCTTAATGGAATGTACCTACCAAATACTTCTACCAAATACTTTACTTTCATTTTGTAATTGAGTTCAGATATCATCATTAGCCTGTCATGAACGGAAGTATTCAATAAATCGTCACAAAATGCATGACGTTTTCATCAAGTATTTTCAAAAAGTGAGTTATGTCAGCTACAAGTTAGAATAGCTACAGTTATCTAATATAATTTACACTTTACCAACTTAAAATGACACCCCTTCAAAAAACAGGAAATAGGTGACACAATATTTTATATTTCATTGCCAATTCATGAAATAAAATCACCATGACGAAGTAAAATCACATCCTGTTGACTTGGCAACAGCTGCAATGAGACTGAATATATAGACAGTTTATGGTAGCTTAAATTACAGGACTAAATCAATACCAGAAACAGATAGGCATAATCTCATTGTTAGCAACAACTGCTAAAAATGATTTAAAAACCATAAATATATCAGTAACCATCCATGAACAGATCACAATTTGGTTACCATGGTAACACCCCCACTTCAAGTATTGACATGTGTTTAAAAGTAGATTATATTCTTCTCCTTTCAAAATGTCCCTGAAATGACGTGCTTGTGGTGTAGGGATTAGATGGTTACACGAGGGCTTAGTATGTTCATAGCGCTGTTCTGATTTAACGACAAAAACTGGGAACAGATGAGAGGGACCAGACATACAAGTCATCAACAAAGTCAAAACATCATCATTAATGAGATAGTATAGGTTGGTCCACTATTTACATTAGAGTGAGTGAGTGAGTTGCTGCTTTTAGCAATATTCCAGCGATATCATGGCGGGGGACACCAAATCACTCAGTCAATCAAACACTTTAGAATGGCAAGAAAAGTCCTGGGGCCCGTTCCTCAAAGCGATTGTAGCGCTACGACAGTCGTAAGTCTATGTTAAAGTATGGGAGTTACGATCATCTTATCGCTATGATCGCTTTGTAGAAACGGGGCCCAGATTCTTATCAATAGAACATAATCCCGAATTAAGTATCCATGTTTGTTTATGCCAGGTGGGATTTGTTATTACTGAACATAAAATTGAACAAGAAGATGCCTTGCCCAAATATCAAAGTAGCATGCAGTATCCCAAGATAAAATACCATTTTCAGTTGGGTAACACAATTATTGGCTCACATGTCTCTTGAATAGCCTCACTCATGATACATTGATACATTGTTCTGTCATATCGGTCAATCCAAATAGTGCATCCACATCATTTCTCAATTGGTGAAGGTGAGGTGTTGAGGTTGGGTGAGGTTGAGGTTGGGTGAGAAGGTGTTGAGGTTGGGGGAGAGAAGGTGTTGAGGTTGGGTGAGGTTGAGGTTGAGTGAGGTGTTGAGGTTGGGCGAGGTTGAGGTTGGGTGAGAAGATGTTGAGGTTGGGTGAGGTAAAGTAGAAGTTCATTGAGGTTGGGTGAGAAGGAATAGAGGCTGCGTAGTGACGTCCATTATTTTCGACAATTATTTTAAAAATGTTTGTAAGTTTTGATTCTAGCTATTGAAAATATTTATAAAAGTTAGATGCAATAAATTCATCATGATAAAGTGATATATGTTGAGGTTGTGTTAAATACTTACAAGCATTGTCTGTGTTTCCCCCAGAATAAGTCTTGATAATATCACAGTGAACATTGGAAGTGTAGCTTTAACTGAAACAGCAAGGGGAGGTAACCATGATTATCATCACTATCAACCAAACCATCTGTACATCACTCAGTGGTTCAAGTAACAGATATATGCATTGTTTAATGCCACACTCAGGTCCATCATGGTTGCTTGCAAACATTCAAGTCTGGGCCAGACAAACCAGTGATTGATAGTATTACAACATCACAAGGCTGACCAGCTGTTCACTATGTCGCGTCTCTTTCAGTAAGTACAAGTAGCCATGGACCTATTAAAACCTGGAATCCAAAGGGGGTTTTCAACAGAAAGAGGATGAATGACATTACCCTGTCTGACATACAAGGTACTGACTACCAGAATATTGACTCTGGAAACAAGGCAAGGTGACAACAAACATCTATTCATCCTGTATTACCATGATTACCAATCTCATTATTGCCTGTTAATGTATGTCTGGGGTTATCAACTCAAATAACAACATTGCTGTAATGCAAGCTGTACATAGTTCCTTATCATACATATATTCATATATGAGTACACAATGACATTTAGAAAGTGGTTAGCTGTAACATGTTATATTTGGGATTACACTTTCTCATTAACATACAGACACAAATACTTTGGTTGGGTTGAGTCCTATCCAGGATTCGAACCCAAACCTTTAGAGTCAGCTACCTGATAACCAGCAAACAAAGATGTGGAGGCTGAGTGGGTTAGATCGGAGACATGTTATCAAATGTTAATAGATAGAGTAAAGCACTAAGTAATCTCCCTGTGACCATGACCTGAACGCACAATGGGGATGACTAAGGATTCTCTGTATCGGCAATGTCAGCTCTTCAAGAATAGAGGTATAAAATTGGCTCACCATGAAAACCTGAACCATTACAAAGGTAATGTTTACTGAAGGTCGTGTTCCCCAAGTTAACTGTATGATACTCACCAAGTTAACTGTATGATTCTCCCCAAGTTAACTGTATGATACTCCCCAAGTTAACTGTATGATACTCCCCATGCTAACTGTATGATACTCCCCATGCTAACTGTATGATACTCCCCATGCTAACTGTATGATACTCCCCATGCTAACTGTATGATACTCCCCATGCTAACTGTATGATACTCCCCAAGTTAAATGTATGATACTCCCCATGCTAACTGTATGATACTCCCCAAGTTAACTGTATGATACTCCCCATGCTAACTGTATGATATACTCCCCATGTTAACTGTATGATACTCCCATGCTAAATGTTAACTGATGATACTCCCCATGTTAACTGTATGATACTCCCCATGTTAACTGTATGATACTCCCCATGCTAACTGTATGATACTCCCCATGTTAACTGTATGATACTCCCCTCCCCATGTTAACTGTATGATACTCCCCATAACTAACTGTATGATACTCCCCATGTTAACTGTATGATACTCCCATGTTAACTGTATGATACTCCCCATGCTAACTGTATGATACTCCCCCCATGCTAACTGTATGATACTCCCTCATGCTAACTGTATGATACTCCCCATGCTAACTGTATGATACTCTCCCATGTTAACTGTATGATACTCCCCATGTTAACTGTATGATACTCCCCATGCTAACTGTATAACTGTAACTGATACTCCCCATGTTAACTGTATGATACTCCCCATACCCCCATGTTAACTGTATGATACTCCCCATGTTAACTGTATGATACTCCCCATGCTAACTGTATGATACTCCCCATGCTTAACTGTATGATACTCCCCATGTTAACTGTATGATACTCCCATGCTAACTGTATGATACTCCCCAAGTTAACTGTATGATACTCCCCATGCTAACTGTATGATACTCCCCAAGTTAACTGTATGATACTCCCCATGTTAACTGTATGATACTCCCCATGCTAACTGTATGATACTCCCCATGCTAACTGTATGATACTCCCCAAGTTAACTGTATGATACTCCCCATGCTAACTGTATGATACTCCCCAAGTTAACTGTATGATACTCCCCATGCTAACTGCATAAGACACTCTCCATGTTAACCGTAGGATACGCCAACCAAGTCAACTGTATGATATGCTCTCCATGTTAACTGTACGATACACTCCACATTAACGGTATGACACTACGCATGTTAACTCAGTAAACTGTACGGTACACTCCACATTAATGGTATGATACTCCCCATATTAACTGTATAACACTCCCATGCTAACTGTATGATACTCCCCATGTTAACTGAAAATACTCGATGCTAACTGTATGATACTCCCCATGTTAACTGTATGATACTCCCCATGTTAACTGTCATGATACTCCCCATGTTAACTATATGATACACTGCCATGTTAACTGTATGATACTCCCATGTTAACTGTACAATACACTGCCATGTTAACTGTATGATACTCTCCCATGTTAACTGTCATACACCCCATGTTACTGCCATGTTAACTGTATGATACTCCCCCATGTTAACTGTACAATACACTGCCATGTTAACTGTATGATACACTCCCCATGTTAACTGTAAGATACACCGCCATGTTAACTGTATGATACTCCCCATGTTAACTGTACAATACACTGCCATGTTAACTGTATGATACTCCCCATGTTAACTATACGATACACTGCCATGTTAACTGTATGATACTCCCCATGTTAACTGTACAATACACTGCCATGTTAACTGTATGATACTCCCCATGTTAACTATACGATACACTGCCATGTTAACTGTATGATACTCCCCATGTTAACTATACAATACACTGCCATGTTAACTGTATGATACTCCCCATGTTAACTGTACAATACACTGCCATGTTAACTGTATGATACTCCCCATGTTAACTGTACAATACACTGCCATGTTAACTGTATGATACTCCCCATCTTTCTGTCACAAACAACCTATTTTTGCTACAAGAAAGAGTCATACAATGTTGTCCAGGAATACTGCAGTATTTGACAAGCAGACTAAGAACCATGAAGCACACTGAGAATAATACTGTCATAACTATTTTTGAGATGATAATTATACTCTGTCAGTATTGCTACAAAACCACAAGCAAACCTTGTCATTCTCAATGTGCAGCACCTTTAAATAATCAGAATAATATGCAAATGATAAGTACATCAGAAACTGGTTTAAAAATACATCAACAAATATGACTGAAAATATCGAGCTGATGAAATACTGAGGGAAAAAAATAAGGGATCACATGAAAGCACAAGTGTTCCTTTATTTTTTTTTCCAGGTTACTTCACAAGCTGTGCAATGCAAGGCTTTTTATTGCATCTGCCAATCATCATATTCATTTTCATATTGATCATGTTGATATTCCGACTATTCATTCAAGTGACAGCTTGTCTTGATACTTCACAAATTAATATTGATCTATCACTGACAACTTCTGAATGAAAAAACCCATCTGAAACTGATATTCAGTCAAATCCCGATGAGTCGAATGCCACTGTCTCGAATATTATGCATAACTCGAAGTACCTGTCGGTCCCGACCATTCCCTGTTATAGTTGTCATCATTTGATTTCCGGTTACACGAATTCGTCTCATAAATACACACGATGACTCGAGAAGGAAATTTGGTCCCATGAGATTCAAACAACAGCAATCTTGTATACATAAGCCGAAGTCAGTCAATGAGAAGTTGATTGGTGTAGCAAACTGATCCAATTAACAAACCAGCGCGGCTCACACCTTTCCGTCATTGATGGGTGAGTTCAAAAGGCAGATTAGTGATTTTACGGAAATCACTGTCTGTGCTAATCAGACTGGAACTGATAAGGTGCCCCTATTAGTGATAGGGAAATCATTAGATAAACAAATGCTTAGGCGGAGGAATTAGGACTGGATCATCTTTTTTTCTACCCTCATAGACATACCTATGTCTCGAATACATCGATAAGTCGAATTTATTACTTGGTCCCCAGCGATTCGACTCATCGGGATTTGACTGTATATATACCATGCATATGTCTGGATAGTAATTAAGACAATTTATATACATCTACAGAGCTTAGCTAGATGTGAATCCTCTATTTAATATGGATACAGATTCACAACAGACACTTGGTGATTCAGGAACATATATTTGCATGTTTAGCGAAATAAATACCTATACTTTTTAAACTTTGGTACCATTTGAAATTAATTTCTATACATAATGATTAAAAACCTACAATACAAAGGTACGTTTCTGTTAGGGTCCATGTAACTATTTCAACCAAAAATATCTGAAAGTATGCAATCAAACACCACTTGCAACAGTGCCAGGTTCAATTTTTCCACTTCTCTGGGACCCTCATTTTCTTGCATGGAATCACCATTTTATAACCAAGGTCCACAAGACAAATACTGTAGTTCTCTCAGTAACTGCAAGTACAATCCTACTTGATCCAACCTTGTTGTTGTTATTCCAATGTTGCCACAGCTGTGATGATCAGCATCAGCATCTACATATTCCTAACACATATTCAACATCCAGATTTCAATGACAAGTCCTTGATGTCCTGACATGGCTTATTGTCTTATTCAGGCCCGTGAAGATCCGGGATAAAATTGGTCTTCAGCAACCCATGCTTGTCATAAGAGGCGACTAACGGGATCGGGTGGTCAGGTTCGCTGACTTGGTTGACACGTGTCATCGTATCCCAATTGTGTAGACCGATGCTCATGCTGTTGATCACTTCATGAATATGTTTACTAGATATGATTATTATGTCAAATGTTTTGGCGTGTACATAGCTAAGTGGAAGAAGAGTATTGAAAGGATTTTAAGTTCTGCTCCAGAAAGGAGCACTCCCACCAAATTCAGTCTGAGTTAAAGCTGTTGCCATGGAAACGCAAAAAATATCTTATTCAGAAATCCAAAACTACCAAAAGGCACCAGTTCACCACCAGACCTATCTATGTGCCAAGTTTGGTGAAGAAATATTGAACGATTTTTTGTTCTGCTCCGGAAAAGCAAATGTGCATGGACGGACGGACGGATGGAGTCCATTTTAATACCCCCCGCAAAATGTGTTGCCAGAGATATAAAAGAGTGATAATTGTTTACTAAATATCGATTGATTATCGATAAATATCAGAGAAGTAACTTTGCCAAAAATGCCAATAAAGTCTCAAAGAAATCATATTTGAAGGCATAATTTCACATCTCTGGTGAGTGGTGACATATCTTATATATGGATTAGGAAAAAAACATAAACATAAATTAGGTGCAGTCCGGTAATAAAGATGCAGCTTTGTGTATTGTGTCAGTGAATAAGCACTATATTTCATCACAATAGTGTATGTACGATATCATCAATGACACAGATTTCATATCGATAATCAATAATAATTCTTCCCATCAACAATTTTTCCAAATTTCTTATTGAGCCATCCCTACTTACAACATAGTATTGTCTCAAAATCAGGCAAAAGAAAATCCATGATGAAATAAAACTTGATGAAATAAAACATATTTGTAATGCTTATATTGCATATAATGGTTATATCTGAATGACATCTATTGAATGGTACACAAATGTTTAGAATAGGTCTTACAAAAAGTTAAAAATATATAAAATTTTGCCACTCATTAGTTCATTTAAACCGTGACCCCATGAAGATGTGGGTCAGACCTTGACATGACCTGACGTCCCGTTGACATGATGCGTTTTCTGATCGTCACGCAGAGTTAGTGAGTTTGGTTTTACGCCGCTTTTGCTTTAGCAATATCGTAGCAATATCACCACAGGGGACACTGGAAACGGGTTTCACACAGTGTACCCATGTGGACAATAGAACCTGGGTCTTGAGCGTGGCGAGTGAACGCTTTAACCACTAGGCTACCCCGCAGCCCCTCGTCATGCAGAGAAGCAGCAGCAGAGTACACACATGATAAAAGATCTTATTTTCATGAAAATTAAAAATGTGCAAATATAACTGACTTCAAACTCTCAAACTATCAATATCATGAGAACAGGCTATTTTGATTAATAGCATATTATTGTAAAGTCCCAGGCTAATGACTAAATAACAGAATATAATAGACTCGGTGAACAGCTGCCATGTCTAACTGTAATGAACTGAGGAAGAAGCATACACACTGGGCACATGGCCACAGCTGTTGGTACTTAGCAGGTACTTCCCTAATACATCATTCTGCCTGGTGTGTTTGACATCACTCTCACACCACAAGTAAAACAGTGGGAACAAGAGATTATGGGTGGTGGCCAATATATTCACATGGTTCACCTGGACAGTTTACCAAGGACAGTCAGGCCTACCATACAAATGGTGAACAAATCATCAAAACTGAACTCATATACACCAAAACAGAACAAAAATCACCAAAAATCACCAAAACTGCAACAATATCCTCTAAAACCGAAACAATAAATCTGTAATGGAAGACGAATCTTTTGAAATGGAAACAAAACTCGCGTATCAGCTACTAGAGCGCGCAAGAACGGTCGCCGAGCGTACAAAACAGCATTCATAGCATCCCAACACGGCAGTCATAGCATCCCGAAACGGCATACAAATCGTCAAAGATGGCGGCAAGGGGAGACGAATAGGCTTTGGTACATCATTGTTTTTCGTCACTATGAGTCTAATCTTGAAAATTTGATATCGGGATGTAGTGCATAAACCCCCTATTGTAGTAAGCTTCAAACCTCAGTGTCAGGCTTGCAATTCTACACAATGTGGTCCCTCGTTCGACCGAATGGGATTTCTTGTCAACATGCCATGCTGCAGTTTCTCTTCAGTTTTGTAAATAAAGTATTCAGAGCATCACATTCAACACTACTATATTTTAGTGATTTAAAAGTTTACAAAAACGTTGTTCATTTTTCATATAGCTGGAATGTTGCTAAGCTACAGCATTAAACAACAAACAAACCAAGGACAGTAGCTGAATATGAGAAGATATAAGAATCAGATAAACATGAACCACTTAAAAATCAGATCGGAGCAAATAATCAAAGTTATCAGGAGATCTCATTAGTCACATAGCGTCACAACCTGGGATCTTTGACCAACCAATGAAATGACAAAGAACTTGAGCCAATCAGAACGAATACACAGAGCAGCTTTCTGGGGGTTTACGATACAAGTTTCAAACTGGTGACATATCCCAGACTATGCTTTGAAAAATATTAATTCAAAAATTTGAAAGATGAACAAAAGAAAAGAAAAAGAAGGCTGATACTGAATGACAGGACTTCCCAGTGGTTTTTAAAAGTCTCTTCCATTTCAAGTGTTATCCCACTGACATGACTGGAGCAAGAGATGGAGAATTTTTATGGAATGAGTTTCACACCCTGTAACCATGGTAACTGGCAATTGGGACTCCCTCAGTCTCCTAGACTAAGGCTTAGTCTCTGAATATATGATAGTAACAAACAAGCCCATTTATATTGAAAAGGAGCCCTAGGGAGACCAGAGATTCCTGAACCTGAGGAAATCTAGACTTGCTTTATTTAGGGCTTTAGCAGAGAGGGCTTGGCAGTAGGGAAATTAATGTGGTTCAGGGACTGTGAGATAGACTAGTGCTTGTTCTGTGATGCTTGTGGAAGAAAAAAGATGTGATGTGGAAGAAGCAAGATGACAGGTTTGTTGAAATGGGGTTTTCGGGGGTTTTCGGAGTTTCTCTGGGAAAAGAACATTTCGATCGCTTCTTTACGTATCTGGTATGTGACACTCTGATTTAAAGATGAAAGGTTGTTTTGACACAATCTGTCATTGGATTTCTTCAGGTCTTTGTTAAGATTTGATTCATAAGTATAAGCAATGTGAGAGTGAGTGAGTGAGTGAGTGAGTGAGTTTGATTTTTCGCCGCTTTTAGCAATATTCCAGCAATATCACGGTGGGAGATACCAGAAATCTGCTTCACACATTGTACCCATGTGGGGAATCGAACCCAGGTCTTAGGCAACAATTTTAGTTACTGAATGTCATTTTATGCAGCAGCAATATTCCAGCTTTGTCAGGGAATTATCAAGTCTGGTCTAGACAATCCAGTGACTGAAATCACAATGATCTACTCCATGAAATCTGTCAGAGAAATGTAGTCAGATTTTAGTGTTAATCAGCAACTGTCCACCTAACTTTACCCAATATCCTCCATGTCTCAATGGAGTTAACACCACACTTGCTTCTATGGAATGTTAAGTAAAACATGCATGATAAAATCTGAATTGTTAACTTTATCATGTTTATGCTGTCACTTTATGTTCATCCAGAAGCATTCATTCTACAGTATAAGAAACATGCTTATCTTCAAAAAAATAGTTTAAGTCAAAATCGGGACTGATATTCATATTTTACTGCTTGTATTGAATTTTATATATCCACATTTGATAACTGAATGTTTCAAAATTGTAACATAAAAGAGAGAGAAAAAAACACACATTTTAAACATGCTAAAACTAACAGTGACATTGACAAAAATAGACAGACCAAACACTTACTTAGGCCCAGCAAGTAAATCACTTGATTTTATAAACACACTATAATCTACCTAAAGCTACTCTTAGTCTGTATTTTTTACATTAAACTTTAAAAGCACAGACAACAATGCTTCCAAAAGAGTATAAATGACATCACCACTTTATGTGCATGCATACAATAACCTGCACTTAAAACTGATATGCTTGCAAAAAGGATAACTTGATAACTGATCATTGGCCGATCACATTCATATAATAGATTGGGTGCACAGGCTTGACCTGTTTGATTGGCATTTTAGAAGTTGGTATGTAATGAGAAAGTAAGATACGTTATGGATGACAACTTTTTATTCTATATGATCACGACATTTCGGTTTCGGTTTCATCCCATCTGCATACTTATAAAAACAACTGAGCAGAGCACCCCAACCAATTAATCTTATCATCTAATGATCTATGTATATTTTGTTCTGCTTCATTGACAACTGGCTTCCTTCTATTATCACCGCATTATCATGTTTATGACCACCATCCATTGTTATTGTTGTTAATCCCCTTGATGCATACCTACATGTTGTTTTCACTTAATCCTTGTTGACGTATAAGTCTGTTCTGTGCTGTAATACTTCACTCTTGCTTGACAACGGTATAGGAATCTACACCAAAACGTCGCATCATATATAAAAAAGAAGTTGTCATCCATAAAATATCTTACTTTCTTAGTCCACAGGCTTGCTGACTTAGTAAATTCACCTCATCATATAAACATTCCAAACATTCTGTCGGTGCTCATGACATCGACCACTGGAATATCTTATCAAGACATGATTATTTACAGACCGAAAATACAAGTCAAAAGCTGTTAAGTGTGGTGCTCAAAACACGAAACATTCATAAATATAAAGGTTTAGCTGCGAGTCCAATGGGGTCCTACAGTCACGTCTAAACTGCATGACCCCATTAAGTCTCTCAGCTGGTAACGGATAAACATTTTTCATCATGTTGGCAGACAGACCATCCACTGGAATTCTATGGAATATGGGAATATGTTTTGGGTGCTTAATGATGAAGATGCAGTCATCATATTTACCTGTATGTGCATAAGATACTGAACTTTTCCATATACTGACATATGAAGACACTGATGACAGAAATTTGCCCATGGCCAGTGGCAAAATCATTGTGAAGTAATAACGTCTTGATATTTCTGTCACACTTGGTACATCCATTGTTGAGATGATTGGTCCTAGGAGAATAGCGGCAGTTGCTAGTTGCACCATAGTGATTGTCATAGGATACGGGAATTCTGATAATATTATTTTTCCAATAATATTGTCAGTGGTGCTGCACAAATACCATAAAATGCACACTACCACAATTTTGGCAGCGTCATAATACACACTGGCCTTGTGAACCTCCTTCATTTTGACTAGATCCCCCAACTTGATCGATGAACTTCCTAAATGTTATGTAATCATTTCAGCCTGGAGCGTCTCTGTCATCTCGCTGACATTTCTAACACATATGTTTTCATTCCGGCAAGTACACGTTGCGTCCTAGGTGGCGCTGTCAATAATTCCGCGGCAAATGGACATTTACCGGTTTATGAAATAAGGGACATTTTATTATGGACTCTATACATAACCCAATGATAATACATGTTTTCCTTATAAAAGTATATATAACGTCATATTATACGCGAGTAATTTAAAAATTCAATTTAAAAGTACAAAATTCAGCCCGGGCCTACAAGATGTCAGCCTCCAAGAAGCTTGAAGTGTACCCTGATATCGATGTTTACTTATTCGCAAGTTATTAGATCTCGACACGTGCCAGGTCTTCCACATTTTTGTGGTAATAGATCATTGTTTTTAGATGTGGTCTTTCATAACATACTTAAACTGTGTGTTTTATGATTATAGATACCACATTGTAATGATACATGTCTTTTCTCTCTCCAGATATGATCGCAAGAGCTGATACCATGTGATGCGAAAATCAACATTTATCAAATCTCTGCTGTTGCTTTCCCTTGTTTTCATCTTCCTGCAATATTTCAGCTTTAAAAGCATCTACAGCGTGGTAAGTCAACCTAGTTGCTAAAACACTGGTTTGGTTTGCTTGTTGCGCTGAAGACTGGGTCTGATTCCACACATGGACTAAATGTGTGTAAAGCCTATCTTAATCTTGGTGATCTTAATAAATATCAATTTCAATCAACCAGTACTTTTGTACATTATTTTTTAGAATTTGTATCAAAATGTGATATTGATAAAAATCAGTAAATGTTTTACCATGGTAACATCCTGTCTCAGTGTCTGTACGCATGGTATGTCTGTTTATCATCCAGGGATCAACAGGGAAGAATGGAAGGTACTCTGGCATACAGTCTGCAGCAATACTGGTAAGCCCACTGTGATGTTTGTACTGATTTATCTTGGATTCTAAATGAGGTGCATTTTATTTTTCCTTTTCTAATTTCTGTCCCCTTTCACTGGTGGTCAGTTGGTCATTGTTTATTGTTGTCAGTGGAATACAAGTCACATCTGCAAAGCCACGTTATTAGTTACAACTATAATCAAGATAATATTGAGAGTTACCATGGTACTACGTTCTGACACTTGCTGTCTATTTGGGATGGAATATCGACCTATGAGCAGGTCTAAATGAATACCTTTGTCATGACTAAGGACAGGGACATTGAGTGAAAGAGTAAGTCAGCAAAATTTGTCCACAGTGGCAGCACAATGGAAGGACAAGGAAGTTGAGGTGGCATATGACAAGCACAATAACAGTATGAAGGACAAGGGAAGTGGGGTGTGGCATATGACACAATGGCAGCACAATAACAGTATGAAGGACAGGGAAGTGGGTGTGGCATATGACACAATGGCAGCACAATAACAGTATGAAGGACAGGGAAGTGGGGTGTGGCATATGACACAATGGCAGCACAATAACAGTATGAAGGACAGGGAAGTGGAAGGGAAGTGTGGCATATGACACAATGGCAGCACAATAACAGTATGAAGGACAGGGAAGTGGGGTGTGGCATATGACACAATGGCAGCACAATAACAGTATGAAGGACAGGGAAGTGGAGTGGCATATGACACAATGGCAGCACAGTAACAGTATGAAGGACAGGGAAGTGGAGTGTGGCATATGACACAATGGCAGCACAATAACAGTATGAAGGACAGGGAAGTGGGGTGTGGCATATGACACAATGGCAGCACAATAACAGTATGAAGGACAGGGAAGTGGGTGTGGCATATGACACAATGGCAGCACAATAACAGTATAAAGGACAGGGAAGTGGAGTGCGGCATATGACACAATGGCAGCACAATAACAGTATGAAGGACAGGGAAGTGGGGTGTGGCATATGACATAATGGCAGCACGATAACAGTATGAAGGACAGGGAAGTAGGGGGTGGCATAAATAAAGTGTACATGTCTTTTTGTTTTTGAAAATTATATATCAATATACATACTAAACCAATGCAAGTTTAGTAAAAAAGTAAATTATTGCCAGAAAAAAAGAGAGTAAGATCCATGATAAAACAGCTTCTAAAATCCCAATTAAAAACATTGTGCATTCTTTTTGTATTATTGTTTGCACAACATAGTCATCTGCTTCCAGCAGGAGATTAGATCACACAAAACATAGTGACAACTAGTGGTGTTCCGATTAATTGAAATAATCGAAGATTGGTCGCAGTGGCCAAACGACCAAGCAATCGATCACATTTTCTCATAATCGAACACAAACGATTTTGGAACCGCTGTAATAGAGTTTGAAATACTTGATGATGGAACATATCTAGGACATTGTCAGGGCCGGAAAACGTGTTTAATTCTTAGAAAACTCACTTCACTTTCTGAAAAGTCATGACTGAATATTTCTTGAAGGACCTGGGAAGTTTATGTTACACTGGAACTGAATCATTTTCCACTGGATGTGAAATTTGCAAATGTAATTTTGCAGTTTCTAAATAAAACAAAAAAACAACAGAGAACCAAATGTTTTTTCCTTATACAACTACAACCTTAATAGGAAAATCTAAAAAAATGACGCTAACCAATTTTTTTCAATGATTGGTCGTTGGTATCAAACCAATCATCAATTGTGAGATTTCAACCAATTCCCAACACTAGTGACAACCTTATATCATATGCATTTGGTCTTAAATTTCATACATAGTTTGTGGTGAACAAATGTTTGCATTAAGTTTTGTTTAATTTAAACAGGACCTGGTCAACACATTCACCAGCAGGTGCCACCACAGAGATGTTCCAATATTCGTCATCGAGCCGGAGGTGCTCAGATCCCTGTTGACTGTCAGTGAGTCGGAGTCTCAGCTTCTCTGCGTCCATCTTTGCTCAGCCGGAGATGTCATCTCACTCGGGACGCTTTGGGGATGAATGGGAGAGAAGGGTATGACTGTCCTTCATGATGAATTTGTTAAATGGTCTGACAAATAAGTTTACAAAAGAACCTGAAAACCTAATCTTTAAAATCCATTTATACATTGCGTTTCGATATATCCAACTCAATCAACTTTCATTGTAGGGTTCCCTTTTGCGAGAACTCCGTGACCATGACCTTGACCTAATTGAGGTGACCTCTCCTGACCCCCGTCTACTGTCCTTGGAGAGATTAACGGTACCCAGCATTCCAACACATTACCTCATCCACCCGTCAGGTAGAATTCGACCGCTGATTCACCTGGTGGTGTTCTACAAAAGGGCAGACAACTTCTTATGGCATAGCCACCTGAATCTCTCAAATAAGACCAATGCTCTCCTTCTTGACAGCCAAAGATTAACATTTGGAAAGAGTGCTGGAGGATATGACAGGTAAACGTCCACTAGTGCTTGAGTGGTGATCCACACCATGATTACATGCAGGGTGATGATGGAGGGTAATTGGGCAGTTTGTTTGTGTTCTCCTGACTTGTCTGTGGTGGACTTGGTGAATGGTTAACCATCTAAGTAAATAGATGGGCTCTTAATGAGACATACCTGCCAACTCTCACGCTTTTATTACTCGTGTCCAGCTCTCACGACAAAACTGATAACTCTCATGCCAAACAGGCTTCATATGAAGAACAAACATAAAAATCTGATACAAATCACACGTTAAGGTCTGAATACATCGTTTTCAGTGACTTTTCTGAGAAGGGTATTTGCAAATATTAGTTGGCTTCAGGACTAGACCGAGTGGGCGGCAGTTAGACCCCGGCATCTCAAGCTTTTTTCTCTTGGGGTTGGAAGATTTGAATGAGAATGGTTTTAGAACTTTTCATGTTCCTGGCACAGTTTAATCTTTGCATTGCAATCTATTCAAGAATTCCATTACTGAGCCTCCGTTGTGGAGTGATAGTTGTCTGTGTGAGAATGTAAGGTTGGTGGTTTAAGCCATGTCTGTGTCGTATCAAGTGTAATCATGTGACCAGTCATGTGACTTTGTAGCGACAGGGGTCGCTACCTTCAGTCTTGCTCAGTGTACTCCCCACGAGCAGACAAATGTTTGAACCGTGTGTTTGAACGTTGCTAAATTGAGCATGTGTGAAGAAAAGGGAAGCTCATTTCACTTAGAAGATATTTCAGCTCAGTTGAGGAGATTTCTCCAGCGTCAGGAAGACCTGGAACGCCGGTTTGATCAGAATTTCAATGCTTGCGGCCCATCAATTTCAGTGCCGGAGTGTGACCCACGCGTTAATGGTGGCTTGACGGATGTTAGGCCTAATACTACAGTTACTAGTGACTGGCATCGATCTGCTCAGTCGTCTGATGGTGACTTCGTGGATCAGGACTTGCAAGGCCAGTTTCAAGCTATAAGGGACAGCCTTAAGAGGATCAGACTACCTCCAGAACTTCGACTCAACGAATCCAGACAAGGTGAGCGCTCTAACGACAAAGCCCACTTCAACACGCTAACCCGTTCGGCCCGGTATGTGGAGATGTCACTCAAGCTATTAGCTTCTTTTGATGAGGGCAGAACACCGAGTCTTGACCAGATTGCTTCGCTGTTTAGTATTCTTAAGGCTCATATGTGTTCTCTTCAAGATGAGCATGCTGCCTTACTAGTACAAGGACAGTTCGATCCCAGCACATCCAGATTTTTTTCGCACCTAACAGAACAATACTAGGGACTTTTCGCCAAGTGCTTTGGAATCGTTGAGGAGTGCAGCTTCAATCGCCGCTATTACTGGACAGCAGAATAGACATCACAATAACCTTCAACACCGACGCAGATTCGCTAGAGGTCGTGGTGGTCATGATATTTATTCACAATTTTCGAGTCGTTCCTTTCCCGAGACTCGATCTCACAACTCGAGTGGCCAGCATAATATTAATAACGAAAGAGGCAACTAGTTATAGTCGTTAGAGTTACCTCCCTTGGCATGGTGAACTGTTTACATCGTTTTCAGCATGGGAACAGATTGATTCTCCAAGCACTGTTATTGACTGGATCCGTGATGGAATAAGCATACCTTTTCTGAACATTCCATCTAAATTTGACTTTAATAATCCTACCTTGTCAGTAAAAGAGTGTTCATTTATTGATTGCGAGGTAAAAGACTTGCTCGCCAGTGGAGCTATTGAACCAGGTACTAACACTGACTTTGTGTCAGTGCTATTGGTTGTGTGCCAAAGAAAAACGGTAAACTTAGACTTATACATAAGTTGAGGTATCTTAATTCTTTTTGTAGTGTTTCAACTTTTAGAAATGAAGATATCAGAGACCTTGCAGATGTTATTAAACCAAAAGATTACATGGTTATTCTTGACGTTAAAAAATGGTTTTCATCATGTCCCTGTTCACCCTGATGACCGTGACTATTTGGCTTTTAGATGGGATGGAAGAGTTTTAGATGTTTTACCATTTGGGTTAAGTTGTAGCCCATATTATTTCTCCAAATTCCTCAGGCCTGTAGTCAAGTATCTTCGCTCTGTTGGCCTTAGAGTTGTTATTTATGTAGATGATTTTATACTTATGTCAGATAGTAGGCAAATTTCAGATCATAAAGACTTATTGTTGCATACTCTTGAAGGTTTGGGTATAAAGGTCAGTTATGACAAAAGTGTTTTAGATCCTTCTCAATGTGTGGAGTATTTAGGGTTTACAATATATACAAATACTGACAGTGGTTTGGTAGAGATCAAGGCTACACAGAAGCTGATTCAGCATATTAAGAGAGACATACGTAGAACTTGACACAAACAAACTGTTACAGCTCGATGTTTAGCCCGTGTCTGTGGGCAGTGTGTGTCTGTCTCATGGGCAGTTGGTCCAGGTAAATTGTTTCTTAGATCAATAAAAGATAAAAGAATTGCACTTGCTCCTCATCTTTGGGCTTGGCATTAAGGGAATAAAACTAAGACTGTCTGCTTGGAGTTTGTATGCTGTGTCTGAGTGGGATATCCATGTTAAACTGTGGTATAGTATATCAATGGGCTAACACAATAAAAACTGGCATTATACTGGGCTAGTATAATCAGCCACACATGCATGCATGTCACTTTATGAATCCCATAACCTGTGAAGATCCGGATTAGAACTGGTCTTCAGCACGCTTGTCATAAATGACGACTAACAAGATCGAGTAGTCATGCTCGCTGACTTGGTTGACACATGTCATCATATCCCAGTTGCATAGATCGATGCTGTTGATCACTGGATTGTCTGCGGAGTGTGGCATTGAACAACAAACGGAAAAAAAAACAAAACACAAATCCAGTCAGCTAAAATATGTAGAATGAGATGTTAAACTTCATGTCACTTCACTTTTTCATCTTCAGTTAAGTGTAAATCTGTAATAATAAATTATGAAGCTTAAAATCTATCGACTGGTTGCCTCTTTCAGATTCAGGACAATGGGGTAGCCTAGTGATTAAAGCGTTAGCTCATCACGCCGAACACCCAGGTTCGATTCCCCACATTGGTACATTTTGTGAAGCCCATTTCTGGTGTCTCCGCTGTGTTATTGCTTGAATATTTGCTAAAAGCGGCGTAAAACTAAACTCACTCACTCACTCACTCTCTCTTTCAGATTCCCTGTTCATGGCAACAGGGTTGATGGTATATGGCTCCACTTCCCACACACAATCAAAGAGTTCCTGGCACAGATTCCACACGCCAAGTTTATTGAGTGTGACTATTACAGAGCTCACACATTCCTCAGTAAATATCCCCAGGACAGTAGTGAAGATGCCAAACAGTTCCTGCGAAAAGGGAGACAACTCTTGTCCCGAGGAAAAGAAATTCTTGATGACCTTGGTGTAGAGTTCTGGCTCAGCAGTGGCACATGTCTTGGTGAGTTGTTGTTACCTTGGTTACAACAGTAAAAAACTACACAAAGTAGTGCGCACATTATTTTTGCCACAACAAAAAATTTGTTTGCAGTAAACAAATAACATTTATGACAATATGATTATGTTGGAACAATTTTATTGATTATTGACCAGTTGCTAATGAAGTCGGAAATCATGAGTGAGTGAGTGAGTGAGTTAAGATTTATCAGCACATCGGCAATATTTCAGCCATATCGTGACGAGAACATTTTATAATTATACTAAAGATCACTAAAGGTAGAAATTAAAAAACCTGTTGACGAAGAACAGTAAAACTACTAGTGTATCACATATATCCATTTAAAACTAGCAATTAAATCTAACATATTGGAACTATAAATGACAATACAATATAAAATTAAAAACAGGCTATTGATTGCCAACGACTGAAGGTAGATCACCATACTAGGGACCATGGGGACTTACAGTACATTTGCTTCCTGCATGGACCCTAGCTGGATTTACACCATCCCCTCAGCCGTTAGCAGCGTAGACAAATCTAGCCATACATTTAAAAACACACATATTCTACGATTATAAACAGCGGAGAGTTTCAATGTACTTTGAATGTTTGTGGACTTACATATCCTCTCAGGAGGACAATCAGAAATCATGGCAAGAGGCTCCAACAGTGTTGGAACTGATACAAATATCATCCTCACTCACAAAACATGTTTCATCTTGTAAATTCACTGACGCTTTGACACTTTGCAGGCTGGTACTGACAGTGTGGAATAATCACTTATAGTACTAGTTATATGATATTGATCTGGCAAAGGCACTACAGTTTGCTAAACAGAGTTGCATCCCTTGGTATTCTCTGGATCTGATGTTCATGGTTTTTAATCCTTGACCACCGCCATATAGCTGAAATATTGCTGAGTGCTGCGTTAAACTTAACTCACTCACTCACTAAGTGGGTATCTCTCAGGCCTTCAGGGGTGGAAATATTTTTAACATTGCTAGTGTACTCCGGAACAGTGGCACATGTAAAATCACTTGCCCTGATAATTTTTCCACTATACCGGCCGATTTTCTTGTTGATATTTTAAATAAACAACATAATTAACATTGGAAAGTCAACTGGACACCGGTACAGTGTGATATACAAATTTGCTTGCCCGACAGAAAAAAACACTGGACTGGGACGTCGGGCAATGGGTTATTTCCACCCCTGGCCTTCTGGACTTGATTCTTCATTAAGACTTTAGGGCAAACTTGAATACTGACCATGGTGACGTAAAAATATCATCCTCACTCACAAAACATGTTTCGTCTTGAAAATTCACTGACGCTCTGACACTTTGCAGGCTGGTACCGACAGTGTGGAATAATCACCTATAGTAAGGACATAGACTTTGGAGTGTGGATCAAGAACTACCAAGAGGATATTGTGACGGCTTTTGAAGGAAGAGGGTTTTCTCTGAAACATGTCTTTGGAAAGGTGAGCAGTCAGAGACATAGTGTGTATGTGAGGTGTATACCATCTCTGTTATACGAGAGGGCCTACCATCCCTTGCATATGTGAGACAGTCTACTGACTGTGACCCCAGCAAAGGTGACTTAACGATGCCCTAAAATCCCCAAGCATTATGGTTATTGTCAGTTTAAAATAATCAGATCATGGATTTCATCATTTGATGTGACACGGTAAAGATGGCCCAGGTTTGTCTATGCAAACTGTACCAGTGTATGCTACATGGGGTAGTGTCCCGTGAAGATCCGGGTTAGAATTGGTCTTCAGTGGCCCATGCTTGTCGTAAGAGGAGTTTAATGTTATCGTTATCGAGGGATCAGGTGGTTAGGCTCGCTGACTTGGTTGAATACATGTTATCGTATCCAAATTGCGCAGATCGATGTTCATACTGGTGATCACTGGATTGTCTGGTCCAGACTCGATTTTTTACAGACCGCTGGAATATTGCTGAGTGCGGCATTAAACAACAAACGAACTGTGGCTTCCTTGGCCTGGAAGTAACTTATATACTGTTCAGAGTGGTGTTCAATTAATAATGTTTGTCTTGGTAACCCGGGGGTATGTTAAACAATGCTGAAGAATCATATTCAGAGCCAAATCAAGATTCAAACGCAGCAGATCCTGACATAAGTAAGGGACGCAACTCTGTAATGGGTTTCTATCTCTTTGACCTTTAGACCCTTTTCCTGGTTGCTGTCTAACAATGAGAACACAGGAAGATTCTTCCATAGTCTGTTTGCAGTGAAAACGTACCGATGAATTTCACTTTAAACAAAAAAAGTAAATCAAATAAAGTGAAATTAAGACTGCGAATCCTCATAAATTTGCCTTGCCAACTGAACATTTAAATCTCAGAATGTTATTCATTGTAGGACAAAAGTTGTTTAACAAACGATCATACATTCAAATCGCTATTATTGGTTTGTGTTACAAGGGGGTGAGCACAGTAGATGGAACAGTGAAACAAATGCACGTGCGTGATGAGCGTTAACTTAGACCAACCATACTTGTTCTCGGTGTTTCATTTAATGTGCATACACCCTTATAATACAAACCAATAATAGCGATTTGAAACTATAATCGTTTGTTAAACAACTTTTATCCTAAGTTGAATAAAATTCTGAGATTTAAATGGTCACTTGGCAAGGTAAAATTATGAGGATTCACAATCTTAATTTCATCTTATTCGATTTACTTTTTTGTTTAAATTGACATTCATCGGTACGTTTTCACTGCAAACAGATTATAGTTATTATGGTTATTTAGAATATTTAAAATTGGTCTTCAGCAGCCCATGCTTATCATAAGAGGTGACTTCCGTGATCATGTGATCAGGCTCACCATGATGCACATCATCATCATATCCCGGATTGATGCTCATGATCTCAATCACTGTATTGTCTACCCGTGAAGATCCGGGTTAGAATTGATCTTCAGCAACCCATGCTTGTCGTAAGAGTCAACTAAGGGGTCAGGTGGTCAGGCTTGCTGACTTGGGTGACACAGTCATATCTTTGTATCCCAATTGTGTAGATCAATGCTCAATGTGTTGATCACTGGATTGTCTGGTTCAGACTTGAATATTTACAGACCACTGCCATATTGCTGGAATATTGCTGATTGCAGCATTAAACAACCAACCACCCACTTTATTGTCTGGTCTGAAATATTGAGATATTGTTTGAGCCAGTTAGCATGGGTGAAGGTACATGTATCTGTAGGTTTTGCTCCAAATCGGTCAGTTGTGGTCAGTAAGGTAGTTTGTGCTTGATCACAAATGCACCTTTAAAACAACAGGAATGGGTGCAAGATATTAACAGTCCTTTGGTGCAAGAGAAGAAAGCATTGGCCTAAAATTGGCCATGTCAGTTTTTACAAATAATATTCAACTAAAATATTTGTATATGGGAGAGGGGCGGTGGGGTAGCCTAATGGTTAAAGCGTTGGCTCGTCACGCCGAAGACCGGGTTCGAATCCCCACATGGGCACAATGTGAGAAGCCCATTTCTGATGTCCCTCGCCGGATGTTGCTGGAATATTGCTAAAAGTGGCGTAAAACCAAAACTAAGTCAGTCAGTCAGTTTATGGGAGAGATTTGTATGTACTTCCAACCAGGCCTTGTGAAGAGTAATAAAATTCCCCTCCTTCAGTCTGTTAGACTCGTGCTTCCTGTTTTGGATGGCTTGTATGTTTTAGGTTTTTTTACCACCTAAACACATACTTATGTCAATACATGATATTGTTATAAACTGCAGTTACCTATCGGCATATACCTACACTGCCAGAAAAAGTATTGATATTTGACTCTGTGCACTTCAGGAATCTGACAGCTATGAGCTGTCTTTCAAAGCTGGAGACATCAAGATCGATCTGTTCTTCTTCTATGAGGAAGCTAAGTACATGTGGAATGGTGGGACAGATGTCTTGACTGGCCAGAAATATAAGTAAGTCTTGACAGAAATATAAGTAAGTCTTGACAGAAAATATAAGTAAGTCTTGACAGAAATATAAGTAAGTCTTGACAGAAATATAAGTAAGTCTTGACAGAAATATAAGTAGGTCTTGACAGAAATATAAGTAAGTCTTGACAGAAATATAAGTAAGTCTTGACAGAAATACAAGTAAGCCTTGACAGAAATATAAGTAAGTCTTGACATATATAAGTAAGTCTTGACAGAAATATAAGTAAGTCTTGACAAAAATATAAGTAAGTCTTGACAGATATATAAGTAAGTCTTGACAGAAATATACAGTATACCCTGGTTATAATGCCACCGTTTTACCAGGAGAAAATATGGCATTATATCCAGGGTGGCATTATAACCAGGTAGGACAGTTAGAGGACCTGTGCAATCAACAAGATGACTGAGCTGATGTCTCCTGTAATGAGCCTTGAATGACTGGATAATCCCAGCGTCTAGGAGCTGCAGGTGACTGGATAATCCCAGCGTCTAGGGGCTGCAGGTGACTTGTTGTAGGTAGCAGGAAGTGTATTGTCACATATGTTATCCTATCTGGGATTACATGACTACTTAAAGCATTAATGAGTTTGTAAGTAAGTCTTGACAGAAGTAGGGGCGATGGGGTAGTCTACTGGTTAAAGCATTCACTTGTCACGCTAAAGGTCTGGGTTCGATTCCCCACATGAGTTCAATGTGTGAAGCCTGTTGTCATGGATTTATGTTAAAAATATTTGGGGGTGGATGGAAGTGAATGGAATAAATAAAGTAAAATGATTTTGTGGTCTGTGTTTGGGTTTGTATATGTTTGTACATTTACATCTATGAATGACATCTTTGATGATACTACAGTTGAAAAAATGACTTTCACACCAACAATACACTTCGACAAACCCATGGCTGAAATCCCCTACATAAACTGTCATTTCTGAGTTGTCAAGGAGCAGGAATCAATGAAATGACAAAAGAATGTTTTGTTTCAGGTATTTTTTCCCCAAGTTTGATGTGTGCTGGACAGAGTTTCTCGGTCTGCGTGTTCGCGTCCCCTGCCCCACTTTGCCCTACGTGACGGCCAACTACGGCCAGAACTGGAACTCCCCCGTGAAGCAGTGGGACTGGATGAAGAGCCCTGCCAATGTGAAGGACAACGGGGGTGTGGCCCAAGGGAGAGTGGGACAAAGTGATGCAAGTGTATGAATGAATGTCTGAGACTGTGATACTGTTAGACCCTAATACTGAAGTTGAGTTTTAATTCAATTTCATACCCTGTCGATGAGGTCAGGCAAGGTTATATTGTTATGCCAGCCAGAACCTAATATTTTCAGCCTGAACTTGTAATTTTAATATTGTTGATTTACAATGAATAGCTCAATACAAAGGGTCTTTCGAAAACATGATGCCTTTTAAAAAGTGTCACATGTAACAAATGTAATATCTGGGATTACACTTTCTCAATAAAGTATATATTCCAGTCCTTTTGGCGATGGAGTCGTATCCAGGATTCCATCCCACATACTCAGAGTAAGGGACCAACTTGCCAGCACACAAAGTCAGCGATCTAACCCACTCTGTCACCGATACTTCCACAAATGGAAGTCTCACAACTGGTAGTCTAGTTCACATACTTTGTGTATCCCAGTGTTCGCGTTAACGCAAAAACCTGCGTATTTCACGCAAATACATCTACATTTCACACAATATATTTTCTACCTGTGTTCTGCATGCTAAGCATTTTGTCAGTCTAAGTAATACAAACCAATAATAACGATTTGAAACGATGATCGTTTGTTAAACAACTTTTATCCTAAGTTTAATAAAATTCTGAGATTTGAATGTTCAATTGGCAAGGTAACGTTATGAGGATTCGCAATCTTAATTTCACTTTATTCGATTTACTTTCTTGTTTAAAGTGAAATTCATCGGTACGTTTTCACTGCAAACAGACTATATAGTCCGATCTATTGTTTTGAGCAGCTATTCGTATTTTTTGCTAAGTTTTGCCAGATTTCATGAGTAAACATGCTTTTCTGGATATAATTTTACGCATCCCACTGAATGCCCAGTTAGGCCAATGTGGGTTATTTCGATATATGCTATTCGTTAATTTGTCAATTTTAGGGATACAGAGTAACAGCCTAAAAACAGGTTTTTTTCTATTTCCGACAGTACTTTAGCATTTGTACGTCACTAAGAAATTGTAATTCCAAATAACATTTGTTATAAAGGGTTGTTTGCCAAAATGCCTTACAGTCTTTGCGCAAGAATTTCTTATACACTGTTGATATATTTTCATCATAAAGTAAAATCTGTGTTGTCAGAGGATTTATAAATATTTAAATGACATCTATTCAGATTTTGGTAATGTAAAGCTTCGTGCAAAGTTTATAATCACCTCACAATGATCTGGTTCCAGGATACAATGTCATGATGAGGTTAACATCATATACTTGTGTGTCTAGAATGTTTAACATCATATACTTGTGTGTCTAGAATGTTTAACATCATATACTTGTGTGTCTAGAATGTTTATGCGAGATACAAATTACTTGACCTCGGTTGGCTTGCTGCTTCTGCCTATTACAAGGGGTTGTTATATAAACGTTTGTTTATGATATTGTCAATAATATTATGGGGTGGGTTGTGTAAATAAACCAAATGTTGTGTTAATATTGAAGGTTCTTTTTCCTGATTTTGAAAAATAAGTCACTCATTTCGCAAGACTACCAGCATGGTACATTGGATCAAGCCCCAGAACTGAAGGTTGAAGATGAGAAACCATACCTAATTCTGTGCTCATGATGTTGATCACTGGAGTGTCTGGTCCAGGTTGGATTATTTACAGACCGCTGCCATACAGCTGGATTATGGCAGCCTTAAACAACAAACCAACCAACCTAATTCTGTGTGAGTGAGTGAGTGAGTGAGTTTAGTGTTATGCTGCACTCAGCAATATTCCAGCTATATGGCGTCGGTCTATAAATAATCGAGTCTGGACGAGACAATCCAGTGATCAACAGCATGAGCATCAATCTGCACATTTGGGAACCGATGACATGTGTCAACTAATTCAGCGAGCCTGACCACCCGATCCGTTACCTCTTACCACAAGCATGGGTTACTGAAGAGAAGTTCTATCCTGGATCTTCACGGGCTAATTCTGCCTGAGTGGGGTGTCCATGTTAAACTGGATGCAGGCTTGTAAACTGGAAAACATTTGGACCAGTACAAATAGTGTTAAGTGTGGAGTCCAAAGTTGAAACTAAAAAGTTAACTGGGAATCTGTCCATGAAAGAATTAGCTGTGAAACCTAGAAACAACCAAAACTATGTGAGGAAACAATTGTATTCTAAAATTAACAAAGTTCACAAATCAATACAAATGGATCCCTATGGCAATACAGAATTGTGTGGGAGTACTACATCAAAGGTGATATAATAAGAGCAGTGGCTATAGCAATAAAGACAGTGATGGTATATTTCACCTCTCAGTAACTGGAATCCAGCTTGCTAGAAAGGCTTGACTACCAAACTGGTAATGATTATCACTGGGCGCTGGGGTAGCCTAGTGGTTAAAACGTTCTCATGTTCGAATCCCCACATGGGTACAATGTGTGATGCCCATTTCTGGTGTCCCCAACCATGATATTGCTGGAATATTGCTAAAAGCGGCGTAAAACTGAACTCACTCACCAATGATCATCACATTCAATGCCTGTCTTCTTGCAACTTGGGCCGTGGGGTAGCCTAGTGGTGAAAGCGTTCGCTTGTAGTAGTATATACAATGATTGTCCGAGATCAAGTCCAACAAAAGCCTCTGTAAAGCTTTATTTCACAAATAAAGCTTTTGTGGGGCCCTTAGATCTCGCCACCATTGTATAGACTACTTTTGAATCCCAGTTAACTTCCCGGCCCCACGTGACACAATAGTGTCACTATGGCCGCGATCTAGCACTTTCCTGATCATGTGACATGTCGTGTTCATAGGATACCATTTAGATTACTCGACAAGGTAAGTGTTAAATATTTTGCTTGGGCGGCAACATTGTGCCGTACGGTATGACTAATAATTCCTCTCTAACGAAACCTCTCCCTGGCCCATCTCTCAAGTAGTACAAGTTTGGCTCGTCGGCTTTGATGTCTATTTTATCTATGTTGTAAGTTTTGACTGACCATATCGGATCAGTGGCTCATTTCCGAGTGTCCCCTTCGTGTTCCTCCGGCTGGTAGAGGTACCTCACGAGGGCCCTATCGGGTATCTGTTTCTCCTTCCCACGCGATGATGCAGCCAACTCAGCTACCACTGATTTCAGTTTGATAGCGTCGGCTGGTTTCTTGCCGGTGAGCCGAGTGGTTTCGTGGTTGATAGCTGACACCACTTAAGGTAGCCGCGCTACCCATTCCGTCGATCGTTTTCCCGGGTTGGCCATCTCTCTCGCATACTGGTGCCCAAATAAGCGCTCGGCCAAAGTCCGATTGAATCTCTCAACTATGGCTTGACTGCGATGAGCCCCGGCAGCGCCACGCCTGACCTGGATGCCGTGCTTGTCTAGCAGTTGTGACACGGCACCCATGAACTCCGGCCCGGGGTCGACTTGCAGCTCTGTGGGCCGCATCAGCGGACTGCGTTTGTACATGCTTTCCAATCCGTGGGCTACCTGGGCCGAGTCTTTCGTGGTTAAGGGTTCGGCTTCTTTGTAGCGGCTGGCCACGTCCACGACGGTTAGGGCATACTTGTACATCAGGGATGTTGCCCCGAGTTAACCTTTTATACTGCCGCTGTGAAAACGACTCGGTTCTACCATCGTCGTATTTCTCCGTTTTCACCGGTACGGCTCTCAGTATCGTGGAAGGGTGACGAGCTTGAATGTTGTCCGTTGTGCTCAACTGACCGAGATGAATGCACAGCTCTCGGTACGGTACTAGGTCGGGTAACTTCGTGCCTGTGACGGTTGTTGTTGGTTTTATCTCGTCCGGCAACACCCCGAGTGTCCTCGCCAATAGTCGACCGAGCCTCAAGGGGTTTATTCGTTTGTTGATTAACACCACTGTTCCGTTTAAAAGTCGTTCATCTTGAGTTCGGCTCCCAAGGGTTTGAAGACCTCGTCGCTTAGCGAGCACACGCTGTAGTAGCCGTCAGTTATCTGGTTGCGGGAGCCACTGACGAACAGCTTGTTGTTGTTGGCGTTGATGTTAGTCCATCGCGGTAGGTAGGTGATATCGCAGAGTGCGACTTCGAGTTGGCCCGACGTGTTATCGATCGCGTGCATCAGCTGAACGGCCTCACCGCTCGTTATTCCTGGAAGTGTTACGTACATGTTAGAGTATATATACTCATTATATAATACTTTAAAAATGTACAAGCCAGGAGAATCATCCACAGGAGTGTTTTACCCTAAACTGGATATAGATTTCCCACATATGAAGATCGTGGTCGCTGATGGGCTGTATTTCGGCGCCCAGTTTATAGATGTATTTGCCAGGTATAGGTTTTCGGTGACTAACGTTAAGGTAGTCCACGCTTGGTTCAACAACCCGATGCAGTTCTGGCAGAACCAACTCAACTTCGCCGTGTGGTGCTCTACAACGGGATGTGGCTTGACATTAACCGACACTCGGCGGGGACCGCTGAGTCAGTCTGTGTTCACGTTTCACGTGTACTACCAGGTCAGGCGTATCCTCAAAGAGATCTGCGCTCCGCTCCCACAGGACAAAGTATGAGACGCAGTAAACAACCAGTACGATTGACGAGCCTAGAACGCGTTTGCAATGAATTCAAGCTAGACCCGAAGACGGATTGGCGTTTGCCGGGCCCGAACCATGGGTTGGGTATCCCCATCGCTCACAATATGCACATCATGGAAGCCAGCAAACTGCTGGTGAAAAAATGGGGGTACAAGTCGTATCATATCACAACAAACGAGTGGGATGACCGTTACATGGCTTTCGACACCAGCAAGGATTACCGAGTCTGGAGGTTCGAGCAGGGGCCCGCGGACGATTGGAAAATGTTCATGCTTCCCACGTCGAAAGGGTTCACTCGTGCCGGCACCGAACGCTTGAACGACTCGATTCGAACGTATGTGTGGGCGCTGTTAGGTGCGCAGACGCTAACGCGTTCCAGCAATCGGTATGGGTACTGCTTTAGACGCGCAGAAACAGTTTGTGTCCAACGTCGAGGATGCTATCAATGCTCCAGTTGATCTACCGAGTGCTATCCGACGCTACCAAGACGTGTTGGAATACTCCTGGTCGAAAGTCGACTACGTCTTCGACGTGGGATTGTACATGGCTCCGAGCGATATGCAACTGAGAGTAAAAAAAGTGGTGGGTTACAACAACGAAATAGTCATAGACACGGCTGACCAGAAGTTGGGTGTCAATGCAGGCATCAACGTGAGTCACGTCCCACCTCCCACAGGTAAAAACGGGTATAGTCGTACCACCCCCGAAGCCCCGGGTTCAACCCACACCACCACAGCCCCTGCCACCACACCGGGTGGCTGAAAACAAGGAACACATCGATCGTAAAACAGCGCTGGTGGTTGGCGGGGTCGCGGCCGGGTTGGGTCTCATTTGATTAAAAATTCCTTAGCCGCTACGTACACCAGACCCACCACGGCGACAATAGCTGCCCACAGGTTTTGACCGAGCCACGTGACGGTTTTAGCCAGCGTGCTGAGCAGCCACGAGGCAATGCTACCCAGGATGCCAGGCAGGGCAGCGGCGGCCTTACCAGCGAGTTTAACCAGGGCCTCCCCGAGGGATTTCAGATGTTTTTTTATCCAGTCTCTGACGTCACCAGTGGGTGTACCCCAACTTGGTGTACCATCACCCCCGAGGCCGCCGGCAGGCGTCAG